TATAGATATTTGTGGTTCGGCAGGTCTTATGAAATTTCTTAAAATAAAAAGAATAACTTCAAAGACATAATTAAACCAACAAGTGAGACAGACTGACAGAATGATTGACATGGAATGTGACCTTGCTGGAAGGGGAGGACCCTGAGCTGCTGCGGGAGGTGAAACAACACTGGTAATATAATGTAATACACTTGTAATAGTCAGGCTCTCCCTCACACATAGCGTGGGCTCTGGAACCGTGCTCCTTGAGAGAGGCTACACTCGGGTGGCCCGCTGGGAGAGACGGAGGCCTGAGGTGGGACTGCTCCTCTCCCCCCAGCTCAGCCGTCTCATATTGGACTAAGCCCCGTGGGTTGGGGTGGGTCCCTGACTGTTGTCTCTGAACCAGAGCACAGTTACATTATTGGACTTCTGCAGAAGAGTTCATAGCAAACATCAGGTTCAAACATAATGATGTCCATCAGTCCTGACACCAGGACAGCTTAGGCTGGAGGTTGATGATCGACTTTGTTTAAGCATCTTCTGACCTTTGACTGCATTTTTTGGACACTTGGGTGAAGAGGAGGGTGGAGCTGTTCGCCCTTGTTCAGGCATGTGTTCAACTCCCACCTTCAGGAGAGCTTCTCCCAGATACTGGGTGAGGATGGAGACATGTGGTCTAAGTGGGCCATGTTCTCTGCCTTCATTGACGATGTGCCCGCCAATAGCTGAGTGCCCCCCATTTTTACCACTGCCAAAACTCTGGCCTGGGAGGAGCTTGGAGAAGCCATGGATAAAGACTCAGTTAGCCTCAAAGCAGTGCTTTGCTAACACTTTTTTTTGTGGGATTGGGGAGCTGCTTGCCCTGAGAGAGGACATTGGACAGCACAAGCAATACTTTGAGGAGCTCCTTAATTTCAGCTGGCATACCTTCCATGGTGGAAGGGGAGAATGGAAAGGGAGGTTGATAAAAGGACCGGTTCGAGTGCTGCTAAAATGCAGATGCTGCACAGGTCTGTCATGATGAAGAGAGAGCCGAGTAAAAAGAGAAAGCTGTTGATCCACGTTGCTACCCTCACCTATGGTCATGAAATTTGGATCATGATAGAACGACTGAAATTAGCTTTCTCCGCAGAGTGGCTGGTCACTCCCTTAGAGATAGGGTAAGAGCTTGGTCATTCAGGAGGGACTTTAAGTAGAGCCGCTTCTTCTCCATAGGGAAAGGAGTCAGCTGAGGTGGCTCGGACATCTTTTTCAGATCCCCTCTGGAATCCTTGGGTGGTGTTCCAGGCACATCACAGAGGGAGGTTGAAATCAGAGCACCTTCTGACAAATAATCAAAGAAGGTTTTATGATTGCATAAGTTACAGCAGCTTTTTAACACTGATCCCAATTTCTTTTTTTTTATTTCAAAGCTTTAAATTTCCTGAATATAAAAGTTCATTTTAGATATTCTCCCACTTGAATTTTCCTCTCAAACTAGAATTGCAGTGTGATAGCTTTTAGTATGAAAGTGTTTTCATTCTGAAATGATTTGACAGATTTTCTCACTGTAGAACCCAGATCAAGGATATGTTGCAATTCAGTACATTCCTTTAATGATTCATTGTGAATAGTGTTCCATAGTTGCCTAATGAAGAGTCAACCTGAAAGTTACTCTTCCTCATTAATAAATCTTGTCTTGATTTGTCCTCACTAAAACAAAATGAACTTGTATAAGATAATACAAAAAACCTAATATCTGTATATAAGATATGTAATATCTTCAAATCTGTAATATACTACTGTAAAGAATGGATGAAGAAAGGATCAAAGTTCTCTGTTATTAGAAACTCACATTATGCCGGGTTGTTGACAGCAATGCTCCTACCAAAATAAGATTTAAGGAACGGAGACTAAAAAGTGGCTGACAGTTTGTCATAACTGCTGTTGAGGCACATAATGTTCTAGGCTTAGTAAGTGCTGTTTGGTGTCCCTGGCTGACATGCTGTAAGCTGTAGGACAGTCAATAGAATAGCTTTTAAAAATTTGCCTCAAAATGCGATTACCAATTCATTTCCAAAGTCTATGTTGGTGTATTTATCTTAGGATTTTTAGCATACTGACAAGATTTTTGTTATTTAGATGTGCCTGATATATTTTGGACAGCAGCTTTTAAAAGCAGGCTTGAATCTTCACATCATGCATAGAAGAGTGCACAGCTTTCATACTAGACGTTGCTGGTAACAACAGACAGAACTGTCCACCGCACAGACAAAGTCAGATCTATATAACTGTGTGTAAACCGCTCACCACGCCTTACCTTCAAACATCCTAATTTGCATGGAAAGGGCTCCAGGCTCAGTTATATTTTTGCCAACCCTATCCCTATATCTAAATAAAAGTAGAAAGGAGTATAAATACCCAGAAGGAACCCATAATTGTTCAAATAACAGTGACAACGAAGCTATTAAACGGTCACAGAGTGACTTAGTCAGCACTTCAACGTTTATTGAATGACATCAGCGACTTAAAAAGGAAACCAGCTCAAAATTAGTGTTGCCTCAGACTTGTTTTGTTCAACAATGTTTGTATGAAGTCCATGAAGGTGCTTTCTAGCCACTACACCGATCTCAATTATAGTTTAATCCTGATCACAGCATTAAGCTAAATGTATGTTGTAGTGCAATATGTGTGTTTTTGTGCTTTTTTATTTTATTTTGGATCAAAAATGTTTGCATGGCTGCTGCATATTCCGACAGTTGGTCCGAAATTTGTGTAGATCTTTACACTTTTAAATATTGAACTGCATGTTTTTTCTACATCAATACGTTTTATACATGAGGCCCGAGAGCAAAACTATTTATTGAATCACAAATCTGGTCACGACATCAAGATATGCATTATGCACTTGCAACAGCAACAGTTATTTGGTAGCATGCATTTCAAGTGCATGCAAATTCTGCATCCCAGTTATACATTGGGCTTCCACTGGCTTCAGAGGGCAACCTGGGTGTTTTTAACTTTTTGGCTGAGAGTGTAAAGCTCTACAGGAGTAGTGGAAACATGATTGAGACAGAAAAGTATAAGGAAAGTCAGGTATTAATAATAGATCTAGCCATCTAAACATTCAATAATAGTATAGCATGAGGCTTCGACAAGAAATGTTTCCATTGCTTTAGTAAAAAAAAGACTTTCCAGAGGAAAGCTCTGACGGACCCAGGTCAAGGCCAATGATGTTGAGAGGCTACTACATTGAAAAAGGCTTACAGCGAACATGCTGCAGAATTTGTCCCTCAGAAAAGGCTTGATGAATTCCAAACACACTCTGTTCGAAACAGCAGGTGATCTCTGGTAAGTTGTGCTTCATTATTACTCATTTATGGAATCAGCAGTAAACGGTGTAATAAACTCAAAGTGCCAAAACAGGTTGTCTCTTACCCCCCACCTGTACAAACACTCCCACCTCCATCTAAAAAGGAAAACCTCTCCTTTTGGACTTTAATAAAAAAAAAATTTCACGATCACACATACATGGCTGATTAGAAGCCAGAGTCAACCTATTCCACAACAATAATTCATGGCTTGGCTTTTTAGATGTTTAACACCGAATATTACTATTTTTCTAATAATTGAGATTATCAACACAATTCAGAATAAAACCAAATAAAGTGCATCGGTTCATATCAGCAATACTTGATGGATCATGAAGGGAAATTAAATGTTGTTGTAACTGTTAAGAGTTCAATATGATTAATATTCGGCAAAAATTTTTCTAATTAAGTTCAGGCCTTTCTCTGCCTAAAACAAAGAAAATCTCTTCTGCTGGTGGCATTAAAACACAGCACAAGTAAAGTATAGAATTTTACTTTAAATAACTATTAATTGTGGATATTATCTATTTTTCGTCTATATCAACTAATACCGCCCACTTAGCCGGGGCTTGTTTAGGCGCTGTAGTGTTGTCAGCTTCCAGAAGAGAGCAGCGATGTTAATCCTCAGGCAAAAGGCCGGAGATTGAGCTTAATAACAGTCATGAAACATGGACGGCAGAAAATATGAAGGATACAGAATCTGCTGCATAATTATTTCACTGTAAAGCTGCGTTCAAACTGAACGCAGCAGGAGCATGAAAATCGCGTCTGCTGCTTCCTTTTTGCTGCTTCTATCATTTTAGTTCTGACGCACGGCTGAAGCATCTTTGCTGCTCCTGCTGAATGGTGGAAAAGTGTGTCTGACGCGCGTTGGGCAGAGCTACCCTATCCTTTCTTTGCCCTGCAGCTATATTTGCTGTGATCAGTGGGAATAAAGTAGTTTTAATATGTTTTTAAGTGGGAAAATCCACCTGAAAACTAAATCACTGCAGTCAGTTCATCCAGATTACCATCCTGCCTTCCAATATTATTTCTGTCGGAGCCGCTCAGACCCCCACATACCTTAAACGCTTGCTTAAACGCTCCTGACGCGCTGCTTCAGCGGCTCAGACGCACTGCGCCTGCTGCTCAAAACGCACCACGGGACATTTTACTGCGCCTTGATGTGCGTGAACCATTGACTTTGCAAGGAAACTAGCTGCTCCTGCTGCTTTTGGTATGAACGCAGCATAACGGCAACAAGGACGCAGAAAGATTTGTTTCTACATATAAACTCTCAACAAGCTCCTTAAGTTAACGCCCAAGTAGTGCCAATTCAGCTGTACTGCATTGCAGAGCAGCATTCATTGAGAATATTGTGAAAAAAGAAGCTCTTTGTTTTATGGAAAAAAAAAACCTCTAGAAGAGCAAAGATGCATTTTTAAGAAAATTGCAGCTAAAAACTAAATGACTTTAGATTAACTCATTAATCAACAACTTCAATTCATCAGTGGCAAACATCCCACAGAGTGGTTCATATTGACAAAAGGCCGGTACCTAAAGTGCCATAACAATGGGCTCCAATCCGTCTCTATAACACTTGGTAATCAAACCACTAAAACTGCAAAATACAGCAAAATAAAGCAGATGTCAACAAATTTACTAGCATAAACTTTTTCTAATAATTACCTTGGCTCCAGCTAGAAGGCCAAGCGAAATGGCAACCCGCGCCCGCAGGTCTGGTCTGTCCTTTGGCCACACGTAGGACAGCATAGCAGAGAGAATCTTGGCTGAATGCACTTCTTTTAGCTGCAGACAGAGAAAAAAAAACATAAACAAAGTATTTAGATAATTTTCTCAGGTTTTTTATTTTTTCTTCTAAATGCAGGGAACATGAATAAACAGATTCATTTTAGCTTTCTAATCTGCCTTCAGTCTGTAATGGTGAGTAATGCTCATTCTGCATTCATTGTGACAATCGCAGCAACCTTAAGACGACACCGTGGGCAGACACATGGAACATCAAATGTCAGCAGGAGTCCCCTGAGAGATCTGACAACAACAATGAGAGAGTCTCCAGGTGGACTTGGGCATCCAGGCTGACACTACAACTCCCAGGAGACACCTGGGCTGTCATCCCAGCTGAGGCTGAGAACCTGCCGGTGCCAGCATTGCTGTTTACCCACACTTCCACACACATCTGCCACAGGGACTCTCGGAAGGCCACAGAATATTCGGTAATTCCTCTAATCCACTCAATATGGTACCACCATGTTAGAGCCCTGCTGTGTGGCAGCTCCTTGGAGCAAATTACAGTGAAACTGTATCCATCACCTGCCTTTGATCAAACACAGCCAGGAAAAGTGTTAACTGCAAAGCGACAGCTACTGATTTATAAGCAACTTCCTGAGCCTGTACATATGACTACATGAAACCTCTACACTATTATCGTAAGATAATTAATAACAGCATCAAATAATTCCCAGGTTAACACTACGGTGGTAAAATAGAGAAGCCAATAAAGATGCTTTATCCATAGTTGTAAATAACATTTTCTTTAGATCTTAACTGTAGATATACACAGCAGTTGAATGATCAGCACAGATCTACACAATGACATATTATACAGAAATGCGGCTTTATTGGAATCACATTCAATAGTATTGACCAGGCGTAACTGGAAGTGAGGAAAAGCTAAATTAACTGTGACAATGTCAAATCAATACCTCAATGCCCACTTTCACCAGAAACAACAGTATTTTATATTAATTTCTCATTCACATCTTCCGGTAACTCCTCATTCTATTGCTATGAATAAACACCAGAGGGTGAATCTTTTCATTCCTGACGTGACCAGGACACCACACTCACCACATTTTTGGGATCTGCGCTCAAACCTCCGCCTGCTTGTCCGTGCCAACATGTCCGCTTGTCCGTTTCCTGCAAATGCTGTTAAAAAAATCATCAGAATGACAACTTGATTACCAATTCCGCATTAAAGAAAGAAAAAAAGAAGTCTGCTGTTTGCGGTATACCACAAACCTTTACTCCGTCTAAAATTCGACGACTGCACTCCACTCTGTTTGTGCTCCATGCTGCTGTTCGAAGGTGTGGAAGGGAGCTCAGCTGAAAAACAAAATACTTTATGTCAGCCAACATGTGGTGTTTTAGATTGTCTCCGCTCTAAAATCTAAAAACTCTGAAACAGAAAAAATACAGAGGTATGGAAACGTATTTGCTCAGTTATACACACTTGAATGTTTCGGCTGAAAGTCAACTGTAATGTCATATAGAAGTGATATAGAAGTGATAGAATCCAGAAATTACTTAAAGTATGACTCACCCCTAAATCAAGTTTGTTAGGGCTCGATGTTAACCATTGCACGATCGCCCGGGGCAAGTAGTTTTTATCGTCGGGAGAGTACACATTTCATTGCATTTGCCCGCCGGGGTAATACACGCCAGATTAAAAATGATCAGTCCCGGATTGGGAAAATAATAATAATAATTGTATGCGCACAGTGTAAATATTTCTATCATATGGCAGTCTTCTGTACAGTGGTCATACATTAAAAAATGTTCATTACATTTTTTTCTCTTAGACATTGGAGTGGTGCATTTAAATGTTATAGAGCTAAACATGTTAAATTGGTGAGTAGTAGTAGTTTAAGTTTTTAACCTGTCAAGTTTGTTTTAGATTTTTAACATTACAATTTATATTTTTCCAAGTACACAACAGGATGTGCAGGAAGGATTGAAAAGCATATTAACACGGTAATGTAGGCTTGAGTTCATTATCTGATGCATGCATATACACACCAGGAACCTGTAAACTTAAAAAATACTGAATTACAAAAAACATTTAAAAAACAACCATGTTTCATTGATATATATCTAAAAATGAATATTAGGAACTATATTTATCAAACATTCTACTGGGCAAGTAAAAATTGTTTTTGGGCAAATGAAATGTGCCAATCAGGACTGAAACAAATAATTATGATAAATCACAATTAATCCAATCAACTGTGATGAATCAATTATTGAAATAATCTTCGATTAATTTAGTAACTTAATATTTTTAACTGAAGTATACAGACGCCAACACATACCACTGGCTTTTCTCTGACAATCCTCCTTCCAGTACTCCTAAAGTGCCAAAGTTTTAGCATCATTTGGTTTTAAATTTGTAGACAATCTTCTTTCAGGAACCTTTTTCTATCCAATTAATAACCAATTACTCCAATAATTAAAAAATGTATTGATTGGTACAATAATCGTTAGTTTCAGCACTAGTGCCAATCTGCCGCTGTCAATCACTGTCAATACTCTGGGCATGACTTTTTTGAGAAGATTTTTATTAAGTTTATTTGTGAGCCAAACAAAATGAAGGATAAATTAAAATGAAACATCATGCTCAAATATTGACAATAGTTTAGGACTGAATGAAAAAAACAAAGTCACTGTCAATTTTCTAAACCCATGGTTCTCTGAACCCCAGCCATTGTTTTGGCACAAATGGAGAAAACAGAGCAAAGGTGACCTTCCAGGAGCAGCCGGCTTACTTAAATCAATCCAAGGACACATCAACTAGTCACCCAGGAGGCCACAAAATAACCCACATTAACATACAGCACTGAACTCGCCTCAGTTAGATCAGAGTTCAGGACTCAAAAATAAGGAAGAGACCGAGCAAAAACGGCCTCAATGTGGAAGTTCCCAGGCAAGAACTATTGCTCAACAAGAAATCTTACATTTAGTAAAACAAAAATCAAAATCTACTAACCACCTTAAAAAAAGAATGTGATAACTATAGTGAACCATGGAGGTGGTAGTTTGTTGGTGTGGGATTAATGTTCTGCTTCAGGACTTGACCTTATTTGATGGAACTATGAATTCTACTTTCTGCTACAGAACATCTGGCTATCGATCTTTTTTTCCTAAAATGTGCTTTGGTTATGGAGCAGGACAATAATCCGAAGCACAATAGCAAGCCCAAACCTGAAAGGCTTAAATAAGAAGTTCAAATGGCCTGGTGCTGGTGAAGATTCTCAGTCATCCAGGTCATAGTCTTCCCAAACAAAAGCTAAAAAACAATCCACTGGACTTTGTTTTCAAGTTTGAAGACGTTTCACTTCCCATTGAGGAAGCTTTTTCAATTCAAAATATCAGGAATAGTGTTGAGTTTGAGGTTTTATAGAGTAGCCCATCAAAACCTTGTTTTTGTTTTGAAAACATGCAGATCGAAACGGAAGAACAGGGCACCCCTTTGGAATCGGGGTCGTTTGGCTTCTTTTGTTAGCCTGCAATGCCCAGTATCCATCCAAGTCATTTTCAGAGACTCTTTCAGAGACTTAGATGCCATGGACCAGGCTTTAGAGTGGCCTAGTCTAAGTCTGACTACAACTAAGACTTTGGCCTGTCACAACAAATAATGTCTTTAATTTTACTGTAAATTAATCACATGACCATTTTAAATGAGCTCAATAATTTAGGTTTACATGTTTGTTAGTTTTCCTTGTTCTACCAAAGGCTGCTAAAAAGGTTCGTTATCTTTTCCTTACCGTAGCGACTGCAGCATGAGAGCCTTGTGACTGGGGAGTAGCAACCGAGAGAAATGCTAGCTGACTTTTTTTGTGTCAACAAAAAGTCAAACAGCACAGCTTCAATGTGGAGGGACCGCTGGATTCATACTAAATAATACATTTATTGAAACAATTTCTTGAACAATTTGCCAGCAAATTTTGCTACAGAGAAAAGCCTATGCTCTTAAATAGGATGTTTATAATATAAACTCCAGTGGGCCTCAATTAAAAGTAAATCTACTGAATTGATTCAATGAGGTGAAGTAACCTTTATGCAAAAATGCCTGCTGGTGAGAATTAATTATTCAGATTAAAGTTTTATCCAATGATAAACTTATTATTTGAAAAATATTGTTTTTACCAATTATACATAAATTTTAAATTCTATAAAAAGATTTGAAGCGTGACAAAAACTGATGAAATCTGAAGGAATACACTTTCAAAAGGGCACCAATACACAAAAAAGGCAACTTGATCAAATTCAGAATGGTAGTACATCCGAGCAGTAATAGATTCATATTTTATATTTAGTTTTAGTGTTTTACTACAGATACAGATAGAAGAAGTCAGACCAACTTGCTTTCAAATATCTTCACTTAGTATTTTAGAAGGTGGTTGTATTTAAACCTCTGAGATGAAAACCTCAAATGGAACACAATAAACATTTTCAGGGCACGTTCACAAGGAAATTCAGAACATGTGATTGTATAGCACCAAACAGAAGCTCTCAACTCTCAGTCAACTTTGGATGAAAACTACAAATACACACACAGAGGCTGAGCTGGCTGTTAACACAAGATATACTGTGGGTGGATTAAGAAAGCACACTGAGCTTAAAGTAAACCAAACCCATTGTGACCCGCTTCTATTGTTGTACCAAGAACTAGATTTTTATATAAAGTGAGCTAGCAAATACTGAAAAATATTTTTTCTAATGAAATCATATTTGTCTTAATTACCCTTTGTTTAATAAGTTATATTCCAGCTGAGTTTGAGTTATAAGCAGGTTTCTTTATTCTCAATACAAAGATCTACAAAGAGAGATCTGTACCATCCCCAGGGGTGTGAATGTGAGCTTGGTTTTCTGGACGAAATGAGAAGCAATTTAAACACTTCAGACTTGGTATGATATCAACCCATGATTGTATTCAAAGTCTCCCTTCTAATAGAAATCAGGCACCATTCATTAGGTGTCATAACTTATAATGACAGCCACATACTCTGGAGGTGAAATTTTGATTTAAGTGGGGGGGGTTTCTTAGTAAGTAATACGGCAGGGCTGCGCTGCACTGAACTAGCAACTAGATGTAGTCAGGTTAAAGATCATAATGCCCTGGTTTTACGGTGGGAGGACACAAACTCTGAATAAAACATGTTATATCATTAAGAAGCACTGCAAAAAATAATCAAACACATTTGCTATGGTTATAATATCTGCAACAGTTATGTTTGCATTTTATTTTATCCTTCTTGGACATACATCTGAGGAAGTTATTGTTCAAATATGATCATTTTGCACTTTTGAAGAATTTTGACAGGCATCTAAACAGCCTCAGTGTTCAGTGAAGATGTGGGAGGTTGGAGGAGAGCTGCTCTCAGCTGGATCAAGTTTGGATAGATTCTAAGAATAAATTGGTTGTTTTTCCAACCAATCTAGTTGCTTAAAGCTAATTTGGTTTGAATAAACAATGTAATGATCAAAATCTGAGCAAACCACCAGACAAAGCCAGTGTTAATACGTCAGTGTTGAGAAGTATTTTCTCCCACAGCAGACCATCTACACGACTGGCGTCCTCTGTAGGAGGACAGACTCTCACGCTAGAGATTGTTGGTTCAAGACCTGTCTCTCTCTTTTGAAAGTTGTGATTACAACCACTATTGAGCATTTTTTCTATGGTTAAAACTTAACATGCACAAGTTCACCCTCACAAACAACTACAGGTGCTAGGCTTCAGGTACTTGGAGATTCACTTCCAAACACAAACCCCACATTCATATCTTCAGGTAACACAGAGTACATGTCAGACTTAATAATATTACTTTAGCGATAGTTTCAAGGCGTTGCTTTATTGTATGTCTCGTACCATGTCTTTTGGTTGTGCTGTTCTTTTTTCATCTCGTTACAGGTGATGAAGCAGACTGAAAATGTTTTGTCATTGTCTCCTTTCTATCTCCTCTTTCTTTCATCTTTTGTCCTTTTTTTCCTTTTCTTTTTTCTTCTTGTTTTTCTGCTCTACTTACATTGCAGTGTCCATATAAACTGTAAAACTCCCCGCATAATTATAATAAAGCAATTTATATGCATGAAACAAGTGGAGCAATATGGCAATTGCCTTACTGCTCCACTTGTGAAAGTAAAATCTGTTGGGCTCCTTTTGGCATCAAGACAATTATTCTTATTGCCACCTTGCCAGACAGGACACTGTTATAAAAAAAAAGAAAAAAAAAAAAAAAAAAAAGTTGCGATTAAACTTAATTATTTTGGCTGATGAGACTAAAATGCATTGTTTTGCCCGAGTAAAAATATAGATTGGGAAAATTAGGTCGGTTTAGTAAAAAGATTGGTTGAACACAACTTCAACCTGATTAAAACCATAAAACATGGAAAAACTATCATGTTTGAATAAAAATGACTAACACCGTTCATATTGTTCATCATTGCCCAATTTGCACAAACACTTTCACTGTCTGCTTGAGTTTATTTCACTAAAATGGCAGACAAACTGTGCACCTTAAATGATTGCTCTAAGAAATGTTACACTTAAAAAAAAAATTTATAAAAATTTTATTATACACACCAACCATTAACAATTTCAAGGGAACTTAAAAGGGGAAAAAAAAGAAAAACAATTGCAAAAAAAAAAAAATCAGATTTTATTACAAACTGTAGTTCTGCTGTCCACCAGTAAGTGGTGACATGTTCACATGAAGCCTCATGAACTGTGGGGATCGTTGAAACAATTTGGCCAAATGGTTCAATGCCTCATGAGGCTTCATCTCACCATCACTAGTTTTTTTTCTTAGTAAGTAATATGGCAGAGCTGTGCTGCACTGGACTAGCAATTAGACATAGTCAGGTTAAAGATCATAATGCCCAGGTTCTAAGGTGGTAATTGTGAATTTTTAATTTTGGGCTTCTAAAGCTGAGGGTAATAATGGTTTGTCTCTTTTTGTTATTTCTGAAACTTAAAGTAGAAAAAAATGAATAAATAAATAGAAATAATTTTCAAAAATTGATTATTGGACCTGGTAAGAGGAAAAAACAATTGAAGATTAGATTGTTGTTGTTTTTTTTTATTTTCCTTTAGCCTTTATTTAACCAGGTTAGTTCAATTAAAATTGTACATCTCTTTTGGATATTTCTGCTACTGTTAATTATAAATGTCTAGATTATTTGAACATTTAAAGAATAATACCTAAAAAAAAAAATCACAACATTTTGTCAAATTGTGTTATATTATGGTTATTTAACCAATATTAGCTTTTTTTCTTTAGATTGAAAAAGGTGAGCTTATCATGTAAATAAATAAATTACCTGGATTTTTTAAATTCCCATTGTATCGGAAATGGTAGTAATGAGTATCACATTTTCCGGGGTATCAATGTCGAGTTTGAATTTTTAGTAAATTTTAGTAGCCGTCATATGAATCAACTAACCTGAAGTAGACTTCACAGAAAAATAATTACATTGAAAATCAAAGTTGTTTGTGTTTTGTAAACTCAGCTGTAATTTATATGCAACTGCATTTCAGTGCTGAAGTTTTCTGTTACACAATATCTATAAATCAACTTTTTTATTGTCTTTACCAGTGAGTACTAGTTTTCTGAATGGAATTGCATAATAAAGCGACAGCTGAGTTTTAGCTGATCGTTATAAGAATAAAAAAAATCAATTAGTCTGTTGACAGAATGGTACAGTTAAATCGGTCTATAACATGAGTGGACGTGGGTGGGACGCAGGGTCTTATCTAACCTGTCAGATGGATATGGAGGCACGTGACTCACGTGCACGGTTAGCTCACCCATCTGATAAAAAACCCAAATAAACACAAACTACGTTAACCAGCAGAATAACCCGTTGCATATATAACTCATATATATAACTAACATATAAGTTAGGTTTGAACTATTGTTATATATGCCCACAAAAACGTCGCCACGAGCCTATGTGCTTAGACTAACAGTTAGCTAACTCAAACCTTAACACATAATTAAAACATTTACATGTCAACACAAGTCTTATCAGAGAGCAGTCATATGCTAACTAAAAATAGAAACTTATTATTTCCTCGCCCACTTAAAGTTAGTTAAAGGTACTTTTTTATCTGCCCTTGCGTGCAGACTGCGTCCTCTCCGACCAGCCGCTCCAGTTTTACTCACCACGTACGCGCTTTGTCGTTTATTATCCTTCCCGTCTTCAGCAGAGCGCTTATTCCAGACGTGATATGAGCTCGTCTGCCGAATAAGCAGCGCCAATTTTCTTCTTTGGAAGTTAAAGCCGCATTTCAGCGGTGCCAACATCGGCGCCATGTTTTACAAGCGGAGGAAGACGGTTAGTCAACACGCAACCGGTGGATGCGTCACATCCGGCTTACGTCACATCAGGACGTCGCCGTTAGTAGCAGTCAGCCTTCTGCTGGGGGTTTATCTTTTTTTGCCGTCTTCGTATACAAGAGCTTCAGTAAACTTTGAAAAACGGGAAAAACTAATTTAATTTATTTATTTATATTCAAAATTTCCTTACCTTTTGATTTCCTTGTCGGTCGTAGAAGTCGGAACTGAAGCCAAAGAACAGCACGTTGTGTCCGTTAGCGCGGCGCTCTGTTAACAAGCGCTAGCTGGCTTTAGCTTTGAAACGTTGTGACCTCGCTGTCAGGATGCCATGCCACAACCAGCAGCTGAACAGTGTCAGCAGTGGGCAGGAGCACCCGATGAAGCAGGTTCGGTTTGCGAATAACAGCAGCAGTGTCCCTGCGGTGCTGAACAGCCCCGAACCGGGTGATGTTCTTCCACAGCCTGTCAACCAGGACAGCCTGGGACCCCAGCTGAAGCTGCTACCTCTGAACGACCAGATCCGGGAATTACAGACAATAATCAGAGACAAGTGAGTCCCAACCCTTACATATTAAATTCAGGACATGATTTAGTTAATCACCATCCAGATAACAGTTGGTATACCAAAGAAAATGTTTACAATATTCAAAGGATTTGTTATAGATAAGAAATAATGTCAATAAAGAACTGTAGTTGTTTGTCTTGGCTTGATTAGGTATGTGTGTGTGTGTGTGAGAGAGAGAGAGATGGATAGATATATTTTTATATAGAGAGATGGATATATAGATATATATATATAGAGAGAAAGATATAGATATATAGAAAGAGATAGAGATATATATATATAGGCAATGTTTGCTCTCCCTGCTAAGGACCACCAAATATGGGATTAAAATGTCAACTCTTGACATTTAGTTCCGGACTGCTGTTCAGAAAAATTCAAAACTTTATTTAAGTTGATTTTCCACCTAAACTGCCAGTTTTACTGTCTATAAGATGATTTTGTGTCCCTCTCCTCTCTTACTTGTGGTATTAATGCTGAGTTGTTTATCAGTTTGCAAGTTTCTGGTGAAGATTCTCAGTCATCCAGGTCATAGTCATTCCAAACAATGAAAATTAAAACAATTGAATTGAAAAAGCTTCCTGGATGGAAGGTGAAATGTCTTCAAACTTGGAAACAGGATCCAGTGGATTGTTTTAAATGCCTTTTTTTGGAATCAGTTTGCGAGAATTTTGATAATCTTTTCCTGAACACGTCTTTATGACACACACAAAATACAGAAAAACTGTTGTCAAATGATTTTTAAGGGGTTATAATGAAATAAAACTATACAAACTCATAGGAAATTGTGACCTTAAAAGATCAGATCATCTACTGTGATTTTTGATATATAAAATTGTGCAAAAGATAATTAAAATGTCTTTAATAGACTTTTAGTGCTCTAATATTTTTTTTGTTTCATATTTTTATATTTTCAAATTGGATATCCTCTGGTTAAAATGGTTTCACCTCACTGTGTATGTAAGAAGTGATATAATAACTTCCTTAATAAAGAATAATCTAATAAATTGCTTGGTGATGCTTTCAGGTCCACCAGCAGAGGAGATTTTGTTTTCTGTGCCGATCGACTGGTAAGATCACGTTTTGTAGTGCATCATGATAAAACTGTTGTTGTCACCCCTCTGAAATGTTTTGTTTTTATGCCCAACAACAGATCAGACTAGTAGTTGAAGAAGGCTTGAATCAGCTTCCATTTTCAGAGTGCACTGTCACCACTCCCACAGGTGAGAGGTGCTCCTGTTAGAACAATTGAACTGATCTCTATAACCGGCTGCTTTTCTGCAGCCTTCTGTCAGAACTGCTTCATTATTGTTTCTTTTCATTTTTTCCCACTTAGGATACAAGTATGAAGGGGTAAAGTTCGAAAGAGGCAACTGCGGAGTTAGCATCATGAGAAGTGGTGAGTGACGCCCGCTGCAGAAAAGCTGCTGAGCTAATCTGTCAAACGTGCAGATGTATAAATGAGATTATAAACGTTTGTGGATCTCTCCTCCTGTGTTTCAGCTGTAGAGTCTTTGCAGCACATTGTCACAAGGTTAAAATGGGCTGACTGATATAGTGTTTAATCTCCCTGTTACTAGGGCTGGGCGATAATTCAATAACGATATATATCGATCGATAGACGTGTGGCGCAATAGAAAAAAAGAGGGTCGATAAAAGTTCGATAAAAAAGAAACGCAGTTTTCCTTCCTTCTCATTGTAGCCTAGCATGTAGGTTTATGCTAGTCCCTGCTTCCTCCCAACCAATCACAATCGCGGACCCAGGCACGCCGTCACAAAGCGCCGCCCTCTCAAACCACAACACAGCACATGAAGATGTCGCAGCAAGGAGAGTCCGAGGAAATTGTTTCGAAGAAGGGTTTTTGTAGTTCGCCAGTTTGGCAGTATTTCGGTCATGGCAAGTCGGACAAAAAATAAACCACAGTCATCTGGAAAATGTGTAGGGAACCAGTGAAAACGAAGTCTGATAACACAACCAACTTTTTTTTTTTTTTTTTTTTTATCATCTCAGCCGCTCACACCCGCAGGAGTACGAGCTGTGTAGGCCCCGGCGCGGCTCTCCTCCGAGGAATCTTCGGGAATTTCGGGAAAATATATATATATTTTCAGTTCTGGGCAGTTTCCCACGTAGTTCTAACAATTGAGAGAAAAATGCTGAGGGGCCAGAAACTTCAAAGTAATAACTCAGGTTAAAGCAGGAAACGGGGGGAGGCGGCGGCGGCGCATTTATTTATTTGTTATATTTATTTTGGTCACTTTTCTGGTCAATTTAGTTTATTCTTTGTCAGTATTTAATAACATAACTCAGGTCTCTTAAGTTATTTTCTTTAAAACAATTCTGTTATGGTTAAAAAAGTTGGTTAAATAAAGATTTAATTCGAAGTCTGTGTTTGTGTTTTTTATTAAAATTAAATCATTTAGCAATATTATAAAAAGTCCAGGCAGAGCTGCACATAAAATATGGTTTCAAATCTTTTCAATAATTATCGATATCGATCAATATGCATTTTTTTTTTTATCGATAAGCATTTTTTCTATATCGCCCAGCCCTACCTGTTACTATAATTTATAGAAATAGAACAATCAATTCATGTAATTCGGGGCATCGGCAGCAGTTTCTTATGTTGTGGATTCCTGCCAAGGACGATCTTCAGGCTCATTCCAGCAATAAGTCAAGGGGCAGGGAATACTTGCCCAGTTTGGACTCACTGTAAATCCATCCTTCTAAATGCAGCACTTGGAAACAGTCTGTGATAAAGCTAAACACAAAAACCATTTTAATCTAACTAGGGTTGTCACGATACTAAAATTTTCAACTCGATTCCGATACTTAGGAAAAATAGTCGATATTCGATACCATTTTCGATACCACAAGGATAAAAACAAAGACCCCAAGATTTAACTGAAATATTTCCATTAATAAATAAAATACAACAAAAAATAATAATAAATACAGTAAATAATAAGAACAATATTTTGAGGTTGTATTCTGTGCACAATATTGAGCACACTTGATAAAAAACTAACAAAATTAACTTAAGTGTTCCTTCCTTGGCCATGCTTTGCACACATAACAATGACACTAGCCAAACCAGTTAACAAACAAAACTGATTCTCAGCAGCTGCACCTGTTACATAAAAAGTCTGAAACTTAAAGGTGGACAGAATTATTCAATCACACTGTGTTCAGAAAGTGCATTTTCTCCTATTCTACACTCTATATGAATGACTGTGTAGGGACCACTGGTGGAAGCACTTTATCGATACTTCTGAAAATAAGTATTGTATCCAGATACAACGTCTTGGCATCGATACTTTTGACAACCCTAGATCTAACCCTACTGGTCACATCATGACTCTTGCATTGCTATCCCAAAAACACATGCTTTGTAGTTTGCCAACAAACAGCCAACCCTTTTATAGTCTTTTACGGTCTTGGTCTTTTCCTCAGGATTCTTTCTTTTTTTTCTTTTTTTTTTTTTGTAGTAAGCAACCTCCCTCCTATCTAATAGTAATTTACTTCTAAAATGTCTCACAAACTTAAGAGATTTGTGTTTTCTTCGTACAGTAGAATTAGAATGCCACAACTATGAGAAGTTGCTTTTGACCAAATAAATGAGGACAGGGACTGGTATGGGCAGATGAGAAAGAGGACAGTTCCCAGCATGTCCGAGAACATTAGTGCAATTGGTCAGAATTTCGATGAGCTTTGTTAAGTAGGAAAAGATAAGATGGTTTGAGGATTGGGAGGCAGAGGCGATGATATAACCATACATCTAAGGAATATAAAGCCCCCACCACACCCTGTCCATGCGTTAAATGCCTACTCTGCCATTGTGCTGCCGTCTCATTTTCCTTTTAGGTGTAATCTAAGCTATTGGGGTCGAGACATTCTGTGAGGGTTGCAGCCGTGCGTCTTGCAAAGTGTGAATATTCAAGGTGAAAATACACTTTTTTTCTTGCTCTTGTTACCTGGAAAACAAAAGCAAATTTGTTGTTTTGTTTTGCTTAGTATGCATCTTCTTTTTAGCGAACTTCTCCAGGGTTTTATCATTGTTAATAGTTAAATCAATAGTTAATAAAATAGGCTTCTGTTAATTTGATGTTTTGAATGATCATTAACTGTTATATACAGATTCTAGATTGTGCTATTTGCTAAAAGAAGGACCCCTCAGATCAATGAATGAGCCAAAACTGCACTGAGAAAATTTGCATTTTACATTTAAGATGAATATTGTCTAGCCATAAATTCCTCAGGTGGAAGTTTTAACCTCACCTGGTTTGAATTCTGTAAAAATAGCAAATGGTCACTAGATTTATATTTCTTAAACATGCAAATTTTAAACACCAAAGATCCGGTACTGATATTTCTTAGTCCTCGTTCTCCTTCCTTTAAGCAATGTGCTGTCATTGTCAAGTACAAGACACAACACTGAGTGAAAAAAGCAGACAAATACGCACAAAGGAAAACCTTGGTGGGCCTTCAGAAAGCTGATGAAATGTCGACAGAGCACACTTTAGAAAAGTACAAAAAGTCTGGATTCTTGAAAGCACATTAAGAGATTGGAGAAAGTTTGAAACTTGGTGTTTTGTACTTTTCTATCTCTAAAGCTGTTTATTTGAATCTAGGTTGATGGAATATGGCTGTGCGATTATTAAGAGCATGTCTGAGATATGATTCACATGTAGTAAACGCATACTTGGGAGGAGAGAATCCAAAGGCAGCGTTTTAATGAAACATTTTTTTGTTTTAGATACAGGTGCTGTTGGCAGAATGTTCATCTATCCATTAATTATTGTTTTCAACCTTCAATCCATTCACTCTTTTTAATGAGTCAAAGATATATATATATATATATATATATATATATATATATATATATATATATATATATATATATATATATATATAAAAAAGGTGAACAGAGCCATGTCTGGTTTCCACAGGGGAAGCCATGGAGCAGGGTCTTCGGGATTGCTGCCGCTCCATCCGGATAGGAAAGATCCTCATCCAGAGCGACGAGGAGACCCAGAAAGCGAAGGTCTATTACGCAAAGTTTCCCCCGGATGTGTACAGAAGAAAAGTGCTGCTCATGTACCCCATCCTCAGTGAGTATCTGCAGGCCCAGCGAGGCTCACACTTAGCGACGCTACAGTTAACCGTGGAAATGTCGAGATGAGTCCATTTCTTTTGGAAACACAAAATCATTTTCTCCCTCGAATTGACCTTCAGCAACACCAAGCCTGCATTCCCAAATCATTCAGAACCATGCTCTGATAATTATAGCTCTCATGTGGGAAATTATACACTTCCTCAGAGTTAGCCAGCAGGCTGCTGAATAAAGGACCAATAAAGATGGGGTCCTTACAGCTCTGGTGTCACAAAGAGGCGTTTCATGTTGAGAATATAACCCTGTCCATGGTTTATTTTTATTAGAATAAGAGAAAATGGAGTGTAATTGATGCATACATGCATGAAAAGTGGCTTTGTAACCAGGAAGGTGCAAAGCTCACTTCTAACCTGGTATCCTCTTTGTCTGCAGGTACGGGGAACACAGTGATCGAGGCTGTGAGGGTGCTGATAGAACACGGAGTTCAACCCAAGCACATTATTCTCCTCAGCCTCTTCTCCACACCTCATGGTGAACCAGCACTCTGCCTGCTTTTCTTTTCTTTTGTTTTTGCTCACCTCTTGTGCATCTGCAGGATTATCCACTGCTGCTCTAAGAGTTTAGAATACAGGTGCTGGTCATAAAATTAGAATATCATGAAAAAGTAGATTGATTTCAGTAATTCCATTTAAAAAGTGAAACTTGTATATTATATTCATACATTACATACAAACTCATATATTTCAGATGTTTATTTTGTTTAATTTTGATGATTACAAATGACAACAAATGAAAATCTCAAATTCATCATATCAGAAAATTAGAATATTGTGAAAAGGTTCAAAATTGATGGCCCCTGGTGCCACACTCTAATCAGCTAATTAACTCAAACCACCTGCAAAAGCCTTTAAATGGTCTTTCAGTCTAGTTCTATAGGCTACACAATCATGGGGAAGACTGCTGACTTGACAGTTGTCCAAAAGACGACCATCGACACCTTGCACAAGGAGGGCAAGACACAAAAGGTCATCGCTAAAGAGGCTGGCTGTTCACAGAGCTCAGTGTCCAAGCACATTAATAGAGAGGCGAAGGGAAGGAAAAGATGTGGTCGAAAAAAGTGTACAAGCAAGAGAGATAACCGCACCCTGGAGAGGATTGTGAAACAAAACCCATTCAAAAATGTGGGGGAGATTCACAAAGAGTGGACTGCAGCTGGAGTGAGTGCTTCAAGAACCACCACACACAGACGTATGAAAGACATGGGTTTCTGCTGTCGCATTCCTTGTGTCAAGCCACTCTTGAACCACAGACAGCGTCAGAAGCGTCTTGCCTGGGCTAAAGAGAAACAGGACTGGACTGCTGGTGAGTGGTCCAAAGTCATGTTCTCTGATGAAAGTAAATTTTGCATTTCCTTTGGAAATCAAGGTCCCAGAGTCTGGAGGAAAAGAAGAGAGGCACTTCATCCACGTTGCTTGAAGTCCAGTGTAAAGTTTCCACAGTCAGTGATGGTTTGGGGTGCCATGTCATCTGCTGGTGTTGGTCCATTGTGTTTTCTGAGGTCCAGGGTCAACGCAGCCACATACCAGGAAGTTTTAGAGCACTTCATGCTTCCTGCAGCTGACCAACTTTTTGGAGATGCAGATTTCATTTTCCAACAGGACTTGGCACCTGCACACAGTGCCAAAGCTACCAGTACCTGGTTGAAGGACCATGGTATCCCTGTTCTTAATTGGCCAGCAAACTCTCCTGACCTTAACCCCATAGAAAATCTATGGGGTATTGTGAAGAAGAAGATGCAATACACCAGACCCAACAATTCAGAAGAGCTAAAAGCCACTATTAGAGCAACCTGGGCTATCATAACACCTGAGCAGTGCCACAGACTGATCGACTCCATGCCACGCCGCATTGCTGCAGTAATACAGGCCAAAGGAGGCCCAACTAAATACTGAGTGCTGTACATGCTCATACTTTTCATGTTCATACTTTTCAGTTGGCCAACATTTCTATAAATCCTTTGTTTTTATTGGTCTTCAGTAATATTCTAATTTTCTGATATGATGAATTTGAGATTTTCATTTGTTGTCATTTGTAATCATCAAAATTAAACAAAATAAACATCTGAAATATATGAGTTTGTATGTAATGTATGAATATAATATACAAGTTTCACTTTTTAAATGGAATTACTGAAATCAATCTACTTTTTCATGATATTCTAATTTTATGACCAGCACCTGTAACTTACTTTCTCTGATGACGAAGTTACCGCTGACATTTATTGCAGACGTTCAGAAATAACCTCCAGTTTTAGGTTTTTTTTATACTTCTTGACCTTTTTCCTGTAGATCCGTTAGATTAAAATTTACACTTTTACAGTACTCATATTTAAGCTGAAGGGCAGGATGCTATTAATGCACTGTGAGACATAATTCCTTTAAGAAATGCTGTTTGCACATTTCAATGCTTCTGTTTGATGGTGGTTGGTGGAGAAAGAGATGTGGAGGAAAAAACAGAAGAATGAAAAAACAGGGAAATTTCTGATCCTTCGTTCTCCTGCTGATGAATTGTCTAAGAGCCTTAAATGAAAAGATATAAGAACAGCTTGGAAAATCTTCCTGTCTTTTATATCAGCATTAAAAGCGGGGGTTGTGTAAAGCTGCGACTAAAATAGCGTTTATTGAAAGGATGTATTGAATTTAGTGCTTTTCTATTCAAAGCTCTTCCCACTAGAGCTAAAATCTGATACAGTACACAGGTAAATAAGTATCAGTGGGTATAGTTCTATGCCCAGCGGCACATCAGCATGTGAGAGGAGGAAGCTAGCATCTAAAATGGATTGCAAAATAACTACTCCCCCTCCCCTTTTTTAATCAATCAGCATTTCCAACATTTAGCATCTCATAAGGGCGGTTAGCACAGTTAGCATCACCAGTAAGTGGCAGCCCTCTGGTTTATATCCTAGAGCTCTGCTTGTCAACCTTTATTCTTCAGTGTTAGACACGTCTGCTTTAGCACACCTCTATTAGATAACTGCATTACCTCAGCATGTCATCAGGGGCAATTAGAATTAGTTTTATTGCAGTGCAATCTTTACATAAGCCATTTCTCACAGGTTGCAATTTAAGCAGGAAAGGAACTGTTTGGAAATCTGTCACATTTTGTACATTAGTTACTATTTAACCTTTTTACAGTCGCTCTTGTAATGTTAGGAGTCTGTAAGGCCCGTTTTAAAACTTTATCTGTGTTCTTCCTCTAGGAGCTAAATCCATAGTCCAGGAGTTTCCAGACATCACGATCCTAACCACAGAGGTTCACCCGGTGGCTCCTACACATTTTGGACAGAGATACTTCGGCACTGACTAAAACCAGGACACAATCATGATTAGCAAAGTGCTTGTGGTATATCTTCTTTATCTCGGTGTCCTTGTGTCATGCAATTACTTTCACTGTTAAACTGACACCCGTTACTTGTATTTATTGTTTTTTTTTTGCTTCGTATGCTCACATTGTAGAATGAAAACCACAAAGATTAAAACATTGATCAATAAAGAATTTATATTTGTCTACAGACAGAGCAATACATGGAGATGTATTGAGGTTTCTTTGTAGGTTTAAAGTGGTTAAAAAAGGGGGGAAGCACCATTCACCAAAACAGTTAAAGAACAAACAAATCAACAGATTCTCTCTAAAAAAAATAACAAAATATCCAGACACTACCTGCAGCAGGTATAAATCAGTGAACCAATATACAGGAAAAGATTAACAATAAATAGGCATGACTATACGATAATATTAACATTTGTCTTTAAACATAGTACAGAAAAGACATGAATAATTTATGTGGAGCAGCATTGGATATGTGTTAAGGAGCTGGGAAGCATTTCAAAATGTCCAGATCCAACAGCAAAGTTTAATAAAGGCCAAACGTAATAAATAAATACGGTTTAGACACAGAAATTAAGCCTAATATACAAGACAGGTTTTCAAAAATATTAAAATAATTCTGAGTGAAAAACGAAGTAAAAAAAAAAAAAATCATAATGTAAAAGGTCATCATCCTCTAACAGTCTGTGAGGACAACTTTAATAAATATGTACAATAATTTGACAGGATATCTGATAAGACAGAAGATAATCATAACAGGCATGTCCAATAAACACACCCCAGTTTTTAGCCGACAGCGTTCAAGTCATGATATACAGGATATTACTTCCCTCTAAAATAAGAAAAAAATCTGCTTACAATAAAACCCTGTAAGAAACTAAATCTGAGTTTAACCCATGCTTTTCAGTACGACATATGTAATTCACTTTACTTAACGCTTTAATAGCAAAGGACGGTTAGCTGGTTACATTCTCAGGAGAAATTTCTCCCAAATGCACAGGAAATACTTCTGTGAGGCACAGGTTAAGCTGGACCTTCTAATAACCTTTGAATAGTAAAACTGATGCTATTACACTGGAGTAACGTCAAAGTGACAAGCTGGACAGCTGGGTTAGACCTCCGCAGGCCTCAGGGTGGGAGTTTTAACACCACATCCTTCAAAGAAGGATACCTAAGGTGCAATGATGTAAACTACGCTGCTAGGAACGCAGGCATGTAAAATAAAATCGCACCTTCTAGCTTCCTTACCAACAAAACGCAATAAGAATAAATAACGTCGGTTTTACTGAGGTAACAAGTTCTCTTCCTAAATAAAACTTTTTGTACAAGAGACGTCATACTGCAGTTTGTTATCCATGTCAGTGCCTTTCCTCTTTATTATGTCGAACTTTAAGGGGAAACTGGCATAAAATACATCTGAATGCTGGTTGTCGTCCACTCACCCTCTCCAGCGCGACCCGACTTCCTTGTGATTTGGAACGCAAAACAGTTCATATAAAGGTGTGTGTGTGATAAAAGTCAACGTTATCCGAGTGTGTGTTAGTTAATCCTCCATCTCCACGGTAACGGACGGGTCTGCATCCCCGACTGGAATAAAAGAAAGCACATTTTAGTGAATAGTGTCACAGCTTTTTCAAATGGTTTTGGTTTTTAATTGAGGTGTTATTTCAATTTATCACCACTAGGTGGTAGCAGAACATCTAAACACAAACTGATGCCTCCAGATAAATGTTTCATTGTTTATTAGAGTTAGAATAAAATAAAAACAAGCATAAATATCTTTAATTGATGGGCTAAAAATATTTTATATATATATATATATATATATATATATTTTTTTTTTTTTTCTTACTATTTCAGCTTTTTTTAAAGGCTTTTTTGTGTAGAGAAAAAAAAGCGAAACATATATACAGCAGTCTGAATAATCAAGTCAGCAAAATTAAAGTGAACTCACCGAAGCTTCCTTCTGACCCATCATCCGACTCATCCCACATGTCCTCGTTAGCTAACAAAGGGGATTCAGAGCTCTGACTCCTTAGAGGGAAGTAGTGGCCGTTCCCTTGGCTACCATCAACAACAAACAAAACAGGAAATGATTCAGTGGTGTTTCTATGCCCGAAACAGATTTTCATTCTGTGATTGACCTCATACAAATGCATCAGCTGTCACTTTCCGCTACTTTGTGTCGTTTGAGTTAACCAATCGTGTTACTTGACTTTTCTCTGGTCTGTTTTACCCCATTTGTTCCATGTTCTTAGACAAACTTTATTTTCATTTTGTATACACAGAGTGTAGCAGTGATCAAAATGTAAAGAATGTAGGAATTTCCTGATTACCTTGTGAAAACGGGGATGAACCACAGTTTTCTGTTTTCTCCGAACACCTGTAGCAGATTTCTGTGTAGGCCAAGATTGAATCCGTTTTTGTCTGGTCCACCTGGAAACACTGGAGCTGAGAAGGCCTCTGGGGGAAAAAGGAGAACAGGAACCATGGGTCAGAGGGTATTTTCCATTTTAGTTATTACCGGGAGTTAAAAACAGGAGAAAGGGTCAGATGGTCTGTAATAAAAATCAAAGTGTTACATCTCACCTAAAGTGGATCTGTTCTTGGCCACCAACCAGCAGTGATAACTGAAGAGAAACATGAGACTGACGAAGAACATGAGTGCAACAAACATGAGGAAGAGTATGTGGAACTTTGCAGGTCCAGTTGGAAGGTCTCCCTGAAGGAAAGATGGATAAAGATTTTTGCTCGTGAAAAAGGCAGGTATATCAAAAACTGCAAAATATCTAGAAACTAAAGAACGACGACTCTTACCACCCAGAATCTGAGGAAATACTGAAGGACTGTTGCAGCGATGAATACACAGTACAGCATGGAGTAGGCAAGAAAAAGTAGAAAAAACTTGTAGTTGGAAAAACCAACACAGTTGTTAACCCTGAGAGGCAGATAATGTTTGGTTAACAGGGAAAAAACAGTAAATCAATCTCTTCAATCTATAAATTATTGTCTTAGTGGCAACTTACCAGGGACAGTGATGGTCCATCTTTAAGACACAACTACAAAAAAAAGGGTTAAAACAAATTATAAACAGGTGTTACTTTCATCTAAATGCAGCTGAATTACTGTTTTATTAAGAATTTACAACCATGAACCATTTAAATTTTTTAGATTATCTTTTTACTTCTGTATTGACATAGAAAAACTGCCTGGATATACACTATATTGCCAAAAGTATTTGCTCACCTGCCTTGACTCACATATGAGCTTAAGTGACATCCCGTTCCTAATCCATAGGGTTCAATATGACATCGGTCCACCCTTTGCAGCTAGAACAGCTTCAACTCTTCTGGGAAGGCTATCCACAAGGTTTAGGAGTGTGTTTATGGGAATTTTTGACCATTCTTCCAGAAGCGCATTTGTGAGGTCGCACACTGATGTTGGACGAGAAGGCCTGGCTCTCAGTCTCCGCTCTAATTCATCCCAAAGGTGTTCTATCGGGTTGAGGTCAGGACTCTGTGCAGGCCAGTCAAGTTCATCCACACCAGACTCTGTCATCCATGTCTTTATGGACCTTGCTTTGTGCACTGGTGCACAGTCATGTTGGAAGAGGAAGGGGCCAGCTCCAAACTGTTCCCACAAAGTTGGGAGCATGGAATTGTCCAAAATGTCTTGGTATGCTGAAGCATTCAGAGTTCCTTTCACTGGAACTAAGGGGCCAAGCCCAGCTCCTGAAAAACAACCTCACACCATAATCCCCCCTCCACCAAACTTTACACTTGGCACAATGCAGTCAGACAAGTACCGTTCTCCTGGCAACCGCCAAACCCAGACCCGTCCATCAGATTGCCAGATGGAGAAGCGCGATTCGTCACTCCAGAGAACGCGTCTCCACTGCTCTAGAGTCCAGTGGCGGCGTGCTTTACACCACCGCATCCGACGCTTTGCATTGCACTTGGTGATGTATGGCTTGGATGCAGCTGCTCGACCATGGAAACCCATTCCATGAAGCTCTCTGCGCACTGTTCTTGAGCTAATCTGAAGGCCACATGAAGTTTGGAGGTCTGTAGTGATTGACTCTGCAGAAAGTTGGCGACCTCTTCGCACTATGCGCGTCAGCATCCGCTGACCCCGCTCTGTCAGTTTACGTGGCCTACCACTTCGTGGCTGAGTTGCTGTCGTTCCCAAACACTTCCATTTTCTTATAATACAGCTGACAGTTGACTGTGGAATATTTAGGAGCGAGGAAATTTCACGACTGGATTTGTTGCACAGGTGGCATCCTATCACAGTTCCACGCTGGAATTCACTGAGCTCCTGAGAGCGACCCATTCTTTCACAAATGTTTGTAAAAACAGTCTGCATGCCTAGGTGCTTGAATTTATACACCTGTGGCCATGGAAGTGATTGGAACACCTGATTCCAATAATTTGGATGGGTGAGCAAATACTTTTGGCAATATAGTGTAAATGAGAATTTCAAACATCTTCAGTTATAAATCAAACTTGTCCCTCCCCTTTAAATTTTGTCATGCCTTATCACATCACAACCAGGAACTTCAGTTACAGCTGGACAGATTTTGGTGTGTTTCAGATCAATTCATTGATTGATTGCTTTGTTCAACAGGCTCATGGTCCACAAAGAGATTATACACAACAACACGATGCAAATCTTATAGAAGACTTGCATACCAATGTTTTCACAGAGCTGACTGGTATCTTAGCGCACTGACAGAGGGATGTGAAAACATTACAATAAGCGTATTCAATGAGCTGCTCAAACGACACATAAACTTTTATATCAGATTTCTCGCATGTGCCTGGAACGTTCTGACATGTGCGTTACAAAACATCTCACTTGCACTGCGGAAACTGTTTTGTTTTTTTTTAAAGCAGAATACTCAAAGATTTATTATAAGCAACTTTAAGCTTCTGCATGCTAGCTTTTTTAAATTAACATCACAAAGGAGCTGTATACAGTCATGTACAGTAAGCTCTAACCAGGCTCATTTTTACCTCATCAGTGCATATATGAAATTTCCTCTCCAGAATGTTTGCCTGGGCATATAACATTAACCTGACTCCGTCAGATGGATTTGCTCCACATATCCATCTGGAAACCTTCCGTTGGAGTAATTTTGGGAAGGGGCGAAAATACTGGTTAGCTGATTGGCCTATGTTGGTGATAGACGGGCCAAATAAACCAATCAGATCAACGAAGCATATGACGTACTAACAGAGCGACGACGAAGAGGAGCCAATTGATAGATCAAACTCTTGCCAAAACCAGTCGGGAGAAGAGCAAAAACATCTTTTCCTCTGAGAAAAGCCTCCAGAGCAGTGTGTTGCTCTTCTTTCAGTGAAGAAATACTCTGTAATTCCGATAAAACTTGCTCGATAGCCACGCTAACGCTAGTTTCATCTGCTGAAGCCGCCATGCTCTTTAGACTGAACTGTCGCGCTTCTCGTTGCGTCACACCTCAACCCGCCTCAAAGCCAACGCTGATTAGACGTTCGTTTGGTGAACGGCTCCAAATTTTCTTCAACGGAGAGTCTCCAGACTGATTAGCGATTGAAATCTTGAAAGCTCGTGAGATCAGGATGGTCTCACGAGGCTAATATAACATGCAACGCTGCTAATAAATATCATCATCATCACAGAGCTGTAGCTGTAGTGAACCAGATATTTAGTTTTGGAACAAACATTTAACTTTTGCCCTGACAAAAAAATAAAAATAAATCAGGGAAACAAAATAGTTTGTCTGCTTAAGTCCTACATTCTAGTACAGTTTCTTTGCATTATACTGCATATCAAATCTTAACCCATAATCAGAGAAGATATTCAGTAACTGGTGAAAACCAGCACTGCTGGGTGAGAGAAGAGCCAGCTCAGCAGCATAGATAAAGTGATTTACCAAATCATGCATCCGTTTTTACAGAGGTTCATTTCTTTTTACAGGTCAATGTAGAAGTTAAACAAGGCAGGTGAGAGAAGCCCACCCTGATGCACACCACTACAAAAACCAAAGGAAGCAGCGGTGGTATTGCCCCATTTTACATGCATTTTCTGGTTAGAGTACCAGTAAACTAAACTTTACATAATATTTAGAACACCTCTCTGTTTTAATTTGTCAAAGAACTGGTAGGGATTGACACGATCAAAGGCCTTAGAGGCATCAATAAACTATGGAAGTCCATTTTCGCCACATGAAAATAAAAAAAATGCCAAATAGACAGTCATAATTATAAGATACAAATTCATAATTTCGAATTTTAAAGTCAAAATCATGAGATATTTGACTTTCAAACTTTGAATCCGGTAATTATTACTTTCTATTATGCTTTTCTTTTTTTTTTTTTTATAAAAAAAACTCCCATAATACTGCCAATAAACTGCCATAATAAACTCAATTTTTTTCATAAATATAGAAATTTGTTCCAGACTTTGAAACCAAATTAATGTATGAATAAACTGATTGAGTAAGCATGACTTTGTTTCTAATACTTTAGATATCACACTGGCTAAGGAATAAAAGAATCAGGCAACTGCCCATGGGTCATAAACCCAGAGAAAGACATTGCAAGCAAAACAGCCACTTTTTGGCTAGCATATTTCAGATGTTCTGCTGTAATGCCATCAGATCCTGTTGCTTGATTCTCGTCTAGGTATGCTATAGCCTGCTGGACTTCACTAGAGGTTATTACAGCTGCATCACTCTTAGCAATGTTTCCCAAACCACAGGATTCACTTTTTACACAGTTAAATACTGCAGAATAGTGCTTTCTCCACAGATCTGCTATACTGCAACTTTTAAACAAACTTTCCATCCATATAGAATGGAAAGCGCCTCTAAACCTCAGTTTCCAAGTCTTGCCACAGATTCTCAGTTTGATTTTAGGTCTGGACTTTACCTGAAACCTTTTAACAGCCAAATATTCTGTAGGTTAAAGCCTTCAGTTTTTACTATTTTTAGAGTAATTCCCCAGCTGGAGCAATAACCAGTGTCCTACCCTCAAGTTATTTGATCTCCAACAGGATTCCTTTTAAGAATCTCCTGTTTTTAGCTCCTTTCAGCTTCCAATCAACTCCAGCCAGCTTCGTCATTCCTTCAGAGGACAATCATCCCACACATGATCCTGCTGTTCCAACATTACTTTTCTGCCACACACGGGATTTTGGATGTGGGCTATACAGTTCTATGTTTTATCTTACCTGATCAGAGCATTTTTCCAGACCTTTTCTGTGATCCTTTCATGGCTTCTTGCAACTTTTAAACAAAACTTAACTTTGCTTTCTTCTCCCCTTTGCTCCCTTTAGGCCAGATGTGTGGAATAGCCCACTAACAGATTTCCTGTTGGAAGGTTCTCCTGCCTGAGCTGTAGATCTGCTTCTCTGATTATTTTCTCCTGCTTGACATGCCAGTTTATTTGCTTTGCAGAATCTCAGTATGTTTAAAGGTGTTAAATAACATTTCCATTTTCAATGATAGATTGAACAGAACTCAGTAAGTTCAAAGCTTGAGATGCTGTCATATTATTTAATACTGCTTCAAACTTCAACAACGTTCTCCACCAGCTGCCTGCTATGTCACTTGGTTGTCACAATACTAATTCTTGTTTCGTTTTTTTTTTTTTTTTTTTTATAATTATTCTTCTAAAAAAGGAAATCAGAGGCTTTAACAGAACATTTAGATTCATATCAAGGTTAAATTCTACACAGTTGGACTCTATTAACTGATTAAATGACTTAAGCCAGTTGATTGAGTTTCCTTTAGAAGAAAGAGTAAACAGAGCTGAACACAAAAGCATGTCATGATTTTTTAAATCTTTCTTGTAAACCAAGCATTTTCTTATTTGTTATCTTAAAAAATTATATATATATCCCCATTTCTCACACAGTCACAATGAAATAATTTAAAGTTCATGGTTGTGATGTGACTAAAGGCACTAAAAGGTGGAAATACTTTACAAATCCCCACATCTGCAGCCTTCTTCTCCTAAAGCAATGCCCTGATTGTTACTTGGGATTTTGTTTCAAATGAACAAAACAACATCCTCCTAATTATCACAACACCTTCTGACCACAAAATATCTCCTTCCCTGAGGGTAATCTCTCTAGATGAAGGTATTGGGGAGGAAAGAGAAGCTTACGTTTCACAAACGGAACAGTGGTGACAGCGGTCAGGCTTCAGTACTTGGCAGCGGTCACAGAACCTGATAGCTGGAGACAAGAGGATGGACGAGTTGAATGGACGACATTTGAGCTGAACATGCCCCCCTCCCACACTTCCTGCAGCCTAGAAGGTACTGTTAGCAATCAGCACTAATGAAAGAGATGCATCTGCTGATTACTACAGAAGAGAGCTAAAGGTAAATGACAACAGCTCACCTCCAGATTGGGCTCGGGTGGATATGGGTAGTTTCCTTGCGATCTCCACAAGGATTTGCTTCTGAGCTTCAGGTCTCTCCTCCAGCTCATACCGCTGCTTGTCTGAGTACGAGAGCTGGAACTGAAGCATAGAATAAAAGCAGACTAATCATGTTTCCCCACCCAAAAAAAAAGATCAGTTATGTGACTGAAATAAGATCTGATTTTTTTTCCCTCTACCTTTTTGCATGGTGTAGCAGGAGGAGTGAATATGGACTTCCAGTATGTCCAGGAGAACATCCCAAAGCTAACATGAAACAGCAGCAGGTAGACAGCTGTAGATTAAAAACACAGAGATCAAACATGAGCTGGATCCCTGAAACTAAGCGGAGCAGAACCAGGAAGAGGAGCCTCACCTTTCTCCAGGCTGTTATTGACTGTAACTGTTAAAACAAGAACATTAAATCCATTAAAGAACCAGCTGTGGTTGGCAATCTCATTCCTCAGAAGATAAATAACAATTCAAAGCTAAGAAAACTAGCCAGGATGCAGTTAGCTAATAAAAAACAATACAACATTAGTTTATGTTTGAGGCTACAGATAAACCTGAGCTATTAGAGGCTATAAGAAGTAAAATTAAAACCAAATTAGTCGAATGGAATGCGAAACTCAGAGCTACTTCCGCCCTAGCTGTCAATAACCTTATTGTTGTTCATCCGTAATCTGCGCTGCTTGAGGAGGAAAGAGGTCAGAAAACAGACGGCCAGTTCGCCATACTTACACAGACACAGCACAAACACGTAAGCGTAATAAGACCACAGCACGACAGCGGTGATAATGAGAACAGGGATCCAGGAGAAAATCCTCTGACAGCATCTCAAACCTCTGGATAGAGCCATTTCCATCTGAGCTCCGCTCCTCCGCTCTGCGCTCTGCTAACCGGCCTGGAGCGGCGACATCTGCGAGCGATTTACGGCCCTGGAAATCAGAGCGACAGACTGCAGGAACAGTGGTCTGATGTTTACCGAAGAGGATTAGGGCCACTAAAAAAAAAAAAACTTAACTGATTTTTTAAATTAACTTCAATATGATATGAGGAAAAACTCAGAATTCCTACTTTAATCTTAGGATTCTGACTTTTTCTTTGGATTTTGACTTTTTTTCTCAGAATACTGACTTTAATCCCAGAATTCTGACTTTTTCCTAGAATTCTGACTTTTCTCAGAATTCTGACTTTTTCTAAGAATCCTGACTTTTTCTAAGAATCCTGACTTAAATCTCAAAATTCCATTCTGATTTAAATCTTAGAATTCTGACTTTTTCTCAGAATTCTAACTTTAATCTCAGAATCCTGACTGAATTCTGACAACATGCTCTTCCACTAATGAAATAGCATCACCAGGGAACCCTTGAGCACGTAAAAAGTCACCTAATCGCATCATTTCCCACCAATGTCTTACTGGCCCTCTCAAAAACTCACATCTTTTTCAGTGAAGCTGAGTGCTCCCACATCTCCTTCCTTCATGGTGCCCATCTACATTAAGATCCAAAATTCTGAGATTGAAGTCAGAATTCTGAGAAAAAAGTCAAAATTCTGACTTTAAAGTCAGAATTCTAAGAAAAAAGTCAGAATTCTGAGGAAAATTTCAGAATTCTGAGATTAAATTCAGAATTCTGACTTTTTTCTCATACTGAAATAAATGTGAAAATCAGTTAACTTTTTTTCCCAGTGTCCCTAATCCTCTTCCGTAGATGTTGGTTGGAAGAACCGAGGGAAGATTTAGTTTAATGATAGGTTAAATACCAGATTACAATTGTCCAAACTTGACAAGCATTCCTACAAACATATAAATAAGTGCATTTAAACTCAAATCTCGACTTGTTTCAAGAAAAAAAGTGTTATTTGTGACTTTGACTTCGACAAACTTTATTTAGAGTGCATCATTTTGTTTATACAGCTTTCAGACAGTGAATGAGCAGCAGCTTAACAATGAAAAGGAACATTTCCATTCATAAAGTGCAGGAGTCATCTAATGTAAACTGTCACTCGAGAGGGGCGGAGCTAGATGGGGGGCCAGGGCCACCCTTACCCAATCATTGGCCACCCCTGTGGCTACCCCTTCCATTTTTTTCCCTATAATACAGACAGTGGCAGCAGTAATACTCTCAAGTGGAATGTTCTAACTTATTCAACATTTTAACTTTCTATATGTAAACAATTACCTGACAACAAAAACCCTGTAGTTAATTATGCACAACAATATGCTAACATTAAAGATAAATACAGAATTCATGCTCTTTTCAGAACTAGATTTTGTCTTATATGAGGTAAAGAGGAAATTATTTCTCTGCGAGTCATCTAGGAATCTTCACGGGAATCAAAGATAAATAACTACTTTAATAATAAGTAATCCATTTAATGTAGATATTAGTACATGTAAATATTAATTTTATGCTAAATAACTATTAATAAAAATAGGTTAGTAATGATAATGAAGAAGATGTTCAACCCCAGAACTCAAAACTGAAAGAATTGTGTCCACTGCACTTTTAATTTAGACAGCATGGATGTTTAAATATATGCGTCTATTTGTTAGCAAAGGCTGTAGGAAAGTATAGTTTGTCTGTATTTAGAAAATATGGGTGTTTTGATTGTTCATTTTCCTTTTGGAAAATGTGGATAGGTTCTGGCACCTATCCGCTTTTGGCCACCCCTCAGTGTACGTTGGTTATTGCCTGGCCACCCTTATTAAAATTTTCTGGCTACGCCTCCTAACATTTCCATTCATAAAGTGCAGTAGTAATCAAATGTAAACAGTGTGGGAGGAACATGAGGCAAAACTTGGACGTCTTGTTCAAAACATTCCGTATTGTAACAAGTTCAATATTCCTCTCTCTCACTGTGCAATAACACATGTCAACTACTGTGTAGCATGTGTAATTTTTTTACTTATTTTCCACCATATTTTGCAAATAAATTCTTTAAAAATCAGACAATGTGATTTTCTGGATTTTTTTTCTCATTTTGTCTCTCATAGTTGAGGTATATCTATGATGAAAATTACCGGCCTCTCTCATCTTTTTAAGTGGGAGAACTTGCACTATTGGTGGCTGACAAAAAACTTTTTTGCCCCACTGTATACACTTTTTATATTGTGTGTTGTATTTTTTTTTTAATCTTTGATGTCATCTTGCTTTACTTTGCGCTTTGTACTCTATATAAGCTACTGGAACCAGAATTTCCCTGAAGAGTAATCCCAAGGGATAAATAAAGTTGATTCTAAGTCTAAAAGGCATTGATGAGGAAGTTCAGAGCAGTGCAAAAATAAATATATATGGTGCAAAAATGCAGTAGAAAACATTTGCATCATCAGAGTGAACAGCTGGGGTTCAGGACGTAGCCTTGAGGGGAGCCCGTGCAGCAGTAGAGCTAAATAAAGTATAGTCACAAAATCTGTCCATCATCAAACAAATTTAACTTAAACTAAAGAAATAATAAAATTATACAATTCAACATTTTACTCAATTCAATTGAAATTCAGTTATACAGACAGATTCGTTCAAAGACATCAAAGAAAGGAACCCAGCTGATTACACTGCACAATGTCTTTGTAGGATTCAGTCCTATTGGATGAGTATGTAATGACAGTTGACATTTGGTTTCATTGTGTTGTTGATTCTGCAGCAATCCCTCACCCAAAGCATGCATGCAGTGACAGTGGAGAGAAAAAAAAACTTTTTTTAAGAGGTAGAAACTTCCAGCAGAACCAGTCTCAGTGTGAGAGGCCCTCTGCGAGGCTGAAATGGGGTTTAAGAAGCCAGAGGCAGACATACAAAACAAATAGGTACTTATACATAAATACTTTGTATGTTAGAAAAACGTAACAGTGAAGTTGCTCCATAGGTGGCTCGGTCTGGGGGAAGAAATAGTTACCAGATGAATTATAAGCCAGTTTTCAGGTCAAAAAGCGTGAAAGAGATTCCATCCAGTTAGTCGCAGTAAAACCTGAAGCCAGAACTATGTCTAAGAGAGAAACAGGACTAAACACTGAAAAACAGGCCCAACTATCTCATATATAATGGAAGTTACTGGTAGCACCTGTCAGACCCTACTGTTATGACAAAAAGCTGATAGAAAATAAACTTAAGATGAACTAAAACAATGTAGAGTTGGAGAATAGTCATGACATCCTTGTGTTCCTTAGGTCCTCCAGCAGTCTAAACCGGGGAGTGTTTGCCTAATGGTTAGAGCAGTGCGTTTGTGCTCTGAGAAGGTTGCAAGTACCCAGGTCGATCCCCACAGCCTGCGCTCTGGGTCTCTGAGCAAAACCCTTAACTCCACGCTGCTCCCTGGGCGCTGCACAGTGGTAGCCCACTGCTCCCCAAGGGGATGGGTCAGATGCAGAAAGTTAATTTCTCCACTGTGAGATCAACAAAGGTCTATTTTTTTTTTTATATACAAGCATCATAGCTTAGGATTATCTGAGCCACTATAACTGTAATCTTTCAGCTGAAGGCTTTTAACTTCAGTTTGTGTGGTTCCTGATAGTGAAATGTACGGACCAGTCTCTCAGCATCATCCCCGCAGAATATATTTCAATTTTTTACAATATTGCAGAGATGAAAGAATAAAAGCTTAGAAACTTTTTTTATATGAGATTTAATTGAGAATTCCTGTTCAATAATAAAACAACCATGGCTTTGTATTTTATCATGTGAGAAAAACTGAATCCCATCCAGATGAATTACTGACTAATTCACCTCTTTTTCAAAGACTGGTCCAAAGACAATAATTTCTGTTATTACTGCTGTCGCTCTGTTTTTATGTCTTCATTTAATAGGTTAGTATCAGGATTTATGGACAATTAAGGCTGAGTATCACCGGCATAACAATGGAAGTTAATCCCATGCTGTCTAATATTTTAACAAATTGGGAGAATACATATACTAAGAAGAACTGACCCCAGCTCTGATCCCTGTGATACAACACAGTGAACTATAGATGATTTTACTATTAACATGGACAAATTTAAATCTGTCAGGTAATCTATCGAGATGGAAATCAATGCTAATCCTTTCCTAAATAATTTAGCAAATTTAGGAACCAGGAATTGCTTCTAACATACAAATTGAATCACAGTTTAGATAAAGCTAATAACTGTAATATTATTAGCAGTTTAGCAGTGGTAAAGATCTGGATTTTACCACTGCTAAACTGCAAATAATATTAATATTATTGCCCTGTTTCCAGCAGAAGGACGAAGATGTGAAGTAACGCACATAAACCACAAAGGAAACTATCGGCACCAGCTACATGCAACCGCTCACAAGGATTGTTGTGAGTTTTTTAAAGTACAGAAAAAGCTCGCCAGCAGGTGGCCCCCTTACTCTATTCAGGCTTCAACTCAGGTTCAAAATAGCAGAACAAACAGTGCGAAACATCATTAACTATATGAATGTCCAGTAACAAGCAGGAGCCTTTCTAACAAAAAAAAAATGGTCCAAGGGGTGAAGGAAGGAGCATTTTTGCTCTTAAAAATAATACAAGCATTATGCTCTTGAAATAAGTTCATAAAGGTTTTTGTTTAAAAAAAACCCCATAAATATCTATTCCATTGTCGAATTGTCTAACTTACCTGCTGAAATCTAGGAAAAATATAATTATTTCAACAGAAATGTACTTAATCATGTTTGATTTTTTGTAGCGTATGTTTTCAGTACAGGCGCCATACCAGAGGCCAGGACCAGTTCTACAGGGGGCATTGGCCCCTGTTGTCCCCTGTCTAGAACCACCCATGCTATGTAGTTTTCTCCCTCCCATCTGTTTAGATAACTTTACAGCATGCACACCTCATGCATCAGTTGGGTTGGGTGTCAGTTGGGTTCAACTTACCTGGTGCCTCAGGAATAATCCTCATCTGCTTGTCACAAAAGCATTGCTTTTATTTATATA